CATTGGGTGATACCTGCTTTGCACTCATATCATGGTTGAAACTTTAATGTCCCCCTTTAGGCTTTCACCAACTTATGTGAATTTTACTCTATTATGATGTTTGACATGTTTCATTTAATTACATGATTTTATTTCTCATTACCCTAATATAAAATCAATCAAATAATTACAAATTTAGCTTATGGGAACAAATAACATAATCGTGAAAAACTCATTTTGTTTCTTAAATTATGATATTCTTGTATCACTTATGGTTTGAACTATCAATTTCAATAATTACATCCCTTATAATAATAATAATAATAATAATAATAATAATAATAATAATCTATAGTCTATTTGAGTCTTTTTTTTATTTTCTAAAAAAATAAAAAATAACAAAATCTAAGAGTATAATCATAAATTAACATGTCCACAGCAGAAGTTGATAATCAGAAGCAAGAGATGAGAAGCTTCTCAGAATCAGCTTTTTTGAATTAAAAATAAATTGTTAAAATAAAAAACTGTTTAACATAAGTTTAACCAAACAGTCTAAAATAGCTTTTCCAAAGTATAAGTTATAAGTTGACTAAAAAAAATCCAAACAAATACCCTCATTTTGTTATACGGATATGTCATGTCATATATATATATATATATATTGTGATTAATTTTAATAATATGATCCACTACATTTATATTGGATGTTTGAGAAATAATAGAAAAACATAAATTTATTATAAGCTATATTTTTTTATTCTAAAAATAAAAAAAAACCATACATACCAAGGGAGAAAATAAATTTAGGATAAATTATATCAGTAGTTTCTGTAATTTAAGTGACGTATCATTTTAATTTTCATAATTTCAATTTGAACCCTAATTTTTAATTTTGTTGCAATGTAGTTTATCTATCATTTCCTGTTAAAACTTTTGAATGGAGAAAGATCACATGCATAATTAGAAAACTAAAATGGAATTCAAAGCAAATTATAAGGATCACCAGTATAATTAATAAATTATACCAGTGATCCTTATAGTTTCTTTTGAATACCACTTTTGTCACCTTAGTTTTGCACGTAGTGTTTCTCCTTTGAAAATCTTGATGACACGTAACAAAAAGATCACATTGTAACAAAATAAAAAGTGGAAGGTTCAAATTGTTCAAATTAAAACTACGAATATCAAAGTGAAACTTTACTCAAGTTAGTGGACCAATAGTATGAACAATGTTAGATACTCTAAAATTTATCAAAAATTTTTTTATCAAATGTATCATATGAAAGTGGGACCCACATAGTGTAGGTTACACACTCATATAAAATATTCAGTAAAAATTTTGATAATTTTTTTTGTATCTTTAACATTTTTCATAGTGTAATTTACTCAATAAATATATATATAAAATCTATGGAGGACCTCCTGGTGAGAAACACGGTCACCTGATGAATTGAAAACTCAAAATTTAAACCTTTTGACTTCTCTACTAAAGAGGAACCCAAAAAACAAAATGACATTAGATGCAATTTGTTATTGTGTTTTAATTAATTTTTAATTTTCTTTACAATTATCATTCTTATATTCTTATTTAATTATTATGTTGTCTGCAATAATCATCACTTATTTTTACAATCGATAAAAAAAACAATAAGAAAGGAAAACAACAATAGTACGAGCAAGATTCAAATTCAAGTAAATAATCCTTGATTTTGTGTCATTGTGGTATGCCTTCCAATTCTTATAGTAAATGTTGTAAGTTCAAGTCTCATGGGGGAGCGTAGGGTGATTTTCTTTTCTTTTACTTTTAGATCTAGCTTAGAATGAGTAAGGGGAAAAAATATATTATAATGTGTTAGTTTTTTCATTTCATTATGTTTGTCTCAAAAATATGAATGATCTATTTTTTAAAACATATATACTTGTTGTCTATTTTTTCAAAGAAAAACATAATCAAATAAAAATGTTACAGTTATCGGACTAATTTTTTTTTTTTTCCAAATGATAAACACTTAGGATTTTACAAAATAAATTATTTAAATTATCAAAATGAGACTGGTTGTGAACTTTAAGAATCTCACAAATTTTTTCATATTCAAATTTAAACCAAAGCGAATCCAATCTTATTTAAAAGGCCTTTTGTTTGTGTATGAAAAGTTTAGTTGTCAACGACCTCATTAGCCCAATATATATAGTAATTGGATCGGTTGGTCAGTTAATGGGTTGTACTGATCCTGGACTCAGTTTTGGGTTGGCTAGTGGGGGCTTGATCCGCCTTATCCAAAACCCTAGTCCATATATTTAGCCTGTGTTTGATTTATAAATTTGAAGACAGAATTAGAAAAAAAAAAAAAAGAAGAAAGGAAAAATGTGTGAAATTAATTGAAATATGGGTACATTTTATTTATATTCTACCTATCTTTTTCCTTTCAATTTTTAAATCTTTTTCCAAATCCTTAAACCAAAGCCTTAGGGTGTATTTGGTAACGTTTACGTTTTCAGTTTATATTTACAAAAATTTTATAAACTGATTTTTGTTTATTTTTTGTTTATTTTTAAAAAAACATAAACTACAAACATGTTTGGTAATTGACAAAATGTTTTTAAAAAATTTAAAATATAAAAAAGAGTGAGAAATGGCAAGTGGTGGCAAGTGGCGGCGGAAGACGGTGGTAAGCCTAGCTTTAATGGACTCTTGTTCAGTGCTTATCCTGGACTCTCCAATAGATAAGATAAACTCCCTAAAAGATTTATCCTTATCCATGCTAAAGTCTTTCCTTATTCTTGTACTCTCGTCCCTTATCCGCTTATCTCGGATTTCGATATCTTCGGAGATAACCTCGGCCTTGCTGAGATCACCTCGGTGTCATAACTTGGACACGCGGCACCTCGGCTGACACGTCGGCGTCGCCTTGGCCACGTGTTGGGACTCAGAAAATATCTCCCACAACTGCCCCCTAGGTTCTATTACCTCGGCATTTTGAGGTGATGGAACCTATATCGGTACTTTTTGCCAGTACATCGGCTTAAACCGAGCTTGTTGTCTTCTTAAAGATCAAGAATTCCAAGAGCTCTTCTTACGCATATGAGCTGTCGTGCACAACAACTCAACCATTCCCAGCCACGTACTTTCCTCTTACTGGATCGTGCTTGTGACGCGCTTCTAAATCGTCTCGCGCATGCGTGCGCCGTCTGAAGCTCACGTTGTTTTAGGCGCATTAATTTCGTTTACCGCCGTTTCAAGTTTTAACAAAAACGTTTTTCCCTCTCTTCGTCGTTTCACTTTTTTGTTCAATCCTTTAGCTTTTTCTCTCTCTGGCTTTTTTCCTCAAATCCGTCATTGCTCAAGCTTTCTGAGTTCTACAACTTGCTTCGTTTACCACCTCCGGTGCAATTTCCACCATTCTTCCGCCTCTACAACCGTCAGCAGACTTCGGGATGGCAGGTGGGTGGTGGGTGGTGGTGATGGTGGTGGCGAGGGGTGGGTAGTGACGAATGGGTGGCTGGTGGGTGCGGGTGGTGGGAGGTGGCTGGTGAGTGGTGGTGACAGGTGGTGGTGGTGGGAGGTGGGTGGTAGTGGTGGAAGACGGTAGTGGAAAATGGTGGCAGGTGGTGAGTTGGGTGGTAAAAAAAAAAAAAAACTGAAAACTAAAAACGGAAACACATTTTTTGTGTTTTCATTTTTTGGCCAAATTTATAAACTGAGTCCACTTATTTATAAATCAGAAATTTTACCAAACAAGTTTTTATTTGAGTTTTTTAAATTTTTATAAATATAAACAGAAAACTGAAAACGTAAGTGTTACCAAACGGCACCTTAGTAAATGAGGTTCATCTTGTATTCTTTTGTTTATTTTTTCATTAATTTCATTTTAGAAAGAGTATGGATCGACTTTCTCGAGTACCATAATCTCTTCAATTTTACATTAAAAAGAGTACGGATTGACTTTCTTGAATACTATAATCTCTTCGTTCTACATGTATCATATCAAGTAATTATTATTGAGCCTAAACTCAAGACGCAAAAAGAAATAGAACATTTAACCATTGATCCATTCCTTAACGGTTGAACCATAATTTTTCATATAAAGTTACAGCAATGTTTAATCAGGACAACCTGATATTTTGTACTCTATACAGGAAAAATAATTTATTATTTTTTTTTATTTTTCTAATTTGGCCCATCTGTCGCTGTTTTGTCAATTCTACTAGAACGATGCTTCAAACCAATAACCAAAGATGAGTAAATTACACTGCTTGGGTTGGGTGTGCTCAACTAATAATAATGAATTATATGTTTATATGGTTAAAGAATAAAAATAATGGTGAGCAAATTATAAGAAATACCATTGATTAGGCATTCACGTAATTTTTTTGACCAATGTGATAATTTATTTTCTCTCTTATTTACAATAGCAAAATAGTTATTCAACAGTTGCCCAATGCATGTTCTTATTAGAAAAAAAAATTAGAAAAAAAAAAAAAAAGTCACACATGTGAACGGATTTTACTTTATTCTTACTAAGTGATGTGTTATGTAATAAATGAATTTGAAATTTGAAGCAAAACTTCAAATTTCCAAACAAAACAACACTTTCACCACTTTGTTTAATTCTTCAAATTTGGTACATTTACATAAGTTCCTCCCTCACAATCCTAACAAATGAGGTGGCAAGTAAAATTTTGAAAGTTGACCTACATTCTAATTGGTATAGAACTTGCAGTACATCCACCATCTCATTTGTGAAAATCATGGGGAGGAAATTGTGTGTATCAAACTTTTCTCAATTTTTAATTTTTTTTTATTGACAAAAGAGAAAATATTATTGATGTAAGAGATATGAGGAGTAAAAAATGAATACACCACAAATAAATTAATGAGCAGTGGCCAAGAGAGAATGTAGCCTTACTAGGAGATAGCCTATTTTCCTTTAATTTCCACATGTGCATGATATTAGTTTTTTTTTATTAGGACGTAATTAAATTATAGAATCGAACACAATGTTCATTTTTTTTGGACAGGAGCACAATGTTTATTTATTATGCAAACATACACACATCTGTCATTAATTTAAACTAAATAAACACACTCAAACTATACTGAAAATTCAAAACTACTCAATAATTACTCTAAAAAGACTCAAATTATTTGGTGAGACCTGTGGAGGGTCCGATAGGTTGAACTAAACCTCTCCAGTCTATACCCAAACTAGAAAGAAGCTGATTATTCTACTTAAACAAGCACCATTAAATTGCTTCAAATATTGAGTTGGTACTCTGAAACTGTTGAGCAATTACTCTGAAAACCGACATTTCAATTGATCTTGAGAGGTTCGATAAGCATAGAGAGGACTTGGGCTCGAGTCTCGCGATCTTGATTACCAAAACCATCTCCATGTTGGTAAATAAAATGAGCCACTCTAGCTGTGTTGACAGTGTATTTGACAAATGGTTGCAAAAAAGGAGATTGGGTGATGAATTCATGGTTAATTTTGTTCCATGTATCCTTTATTGTGGTTCTAATCTTCTTCCTGGCTATCTCCTCTGAGACATTGGCTTCTCTCATGAAACAAAGGATTGATGATGGAGCATCTCCTCTCTCCAGTTCTGCCTGCAGTTAAATCGATAATGTTCAAAAAGCATGGCACTAATATCCTAAAAAAACGGAGTTTATTTATGGTGAAAGAGGTGAAAAAGTGCAGGAAAAGAATAAAAATCTAAAAATGTTTTGTGTTAGATAGTGATCATGTGATTAACCACGTAGAAACATAGGTGATCATATGTATTAGATGGTGAGTTCCTTATAAAAGAAACAATTTCACTCAGAGCCCAAAATTTGTATTTTGGGCAAGAAATTAAAATTCAATTTACCATGTTGATATGGATAGTACTTAAATATGAATTTATTTTTTAATTCTTTGTATTTTCATAAAGAAAACAATTAAAAGTTTGAAAATACCCACCAAGTTCAATTTTTTGTTGCAAAAAAATTTTTGAATTTCAAAGAAACATGTTTCTTGAAACTCGATTGTTTTCAATTATTTTTTTTTTCTTTCAGAAACAATATATTGAACAAGTATGTGTTCATAAAAAATTGTAAACAAATACACCAAAAAATCAATAAATAAACAGAACAAAACAAAACAAACAAAATTGTAGCCAAACAGTTCCATGGGGCTTGTTTGGTTCTATTTTTATTTTTCTTGTTTTTTCAAAAACAAAAGAATGAAAGATTCAAATATCATTTTCATTTTTGCATTAAAATAGTTTTCGAGTAGATATTAATGAAGAGAATAATTACCGCAGAAGTTCCAAGGTCATTGCAAAGTCGAATGATCATTGATGTACAATGCACAAGAACATCACTCTTTTCCAAAAGATCTACAAGCTCTTCTCTTGTTGTCTCTTCCATAACAGAGAAAAATGCAAGCAGAGAAAGAACAGGTCCAGATGATGAAACCAACCCATTTTCAAGATACTCGTCTAGGGTTGGTGTGTAACTCTTGTTGTACCACCTTGCTTCCACAAGTAATGCTTTGCAAAAGTCTGCCCACTGAACAAGGGTTTTCATTGACAAACTCAAACTCAATTTGCTTTGTAGAAAAATATTTTCCCAAAATATGACTTCCACACAGAATGTTATTAATTTTTTGCGAGCTTGAAAATGAGATGACAGTGGTTGTGACAGAAGTGGTGTTTAGAGAGCTGGGGATGGTAGTAGTTGTGGTAGCAATGGTGGCATTGGTAGGTGTAGACACTTCAAGGTGCAAAGCAAAATGTCAACCAAGACTAATTGATATTTTTTCTTCATATTTATATTCTTGTAATTAAGATGGGCCATAAGGACTTTAATTATTAGTTTATTTTGTTTGATTTTTAAATTAAAACAAATAATTCTTGCTCGACCTTTTGGGTCACTACAAGAAATTAAGGTTTTAAAGACAAATTTTTAGAGACAAAATCAAGATTTGTTTATTCTTCAAATGCTAATTGTTTTCTTTGACATACCCATGATTGTTAATTGCTGAATTTCAATCAATATTGTTGAGAACCTACTCCACATTGTTGCTTTTTTTATATTTGGAATTAATAATTAAAGCACTATATTGTTAGTTGACTTTTGCTTATATTACTTGACTATTCTGGATTGTGATATGGGTCTGTTCATTATCAATATATTGTTGATTATGTATAACATTGAAACAAGAGGAAGCTGAAAATATTTACAAGGATATGGTTTTTCTCTAGGTTTGACTAATATCTTTGATTACATGAGAGGCTTCAGAAACAGAGCAAACACCATAAATGTGTCCATGTATCTAAATTCTAATGCAGGAAAGTTTTTGAGATTAGGTCTGGAAATTAAAAATAGATTACTAATTTTCAATTGGCCTCAAAATTGCTTTGATGACTGAGTTGAGGAGTAAATAGGCAACCATTCTTCATCTTGTTTTCACAACATCAATACATACTGTGTCTATCTAGGAGTAATTATTTTCAAATTTTTGTAGCAAGTTGATTTAGTTTAATCTTTGTTCACTCTTGAATATTGATAGTGAATTTTGGGTTGCTTTGTTACTATGATTTATGTGTGATTGCTGTAGATACTACAATTGACACATTAAATTGCAATCTATTAAATTAATCTATCATTGGATAATTTTTAATTGGTAATCTATTTGAGAGTTTGGCCTATTCTATGCAAGTCCTGCAAGTTTGCATCGATTTGAAGTTTAGGAGCTCACTGCTATATTTTGAATGCCATTTCAACGAAGCAATTGAGAAGAAAATGCAATGAGTTGAGTTGTTTTGTTATGTATGTAGATATAATTCCAATTACAATTTGTTCATTGACTAGTTGAATGCTACAAACAATGCTTATGGTACTAGCCTTATAAATTAGAAATGATACTTTTGAAATCTCTGTCAATTAATGATATACAATCAAGATATTACACACTAATGAATCAGATCATGGTATTTGTTTGTTATTAAAATATCTTTTGATTAAGCCTCTTTGAATGTGATGAGCATTTTTTTTTTCTTGTAGTTGAATTTTAATTTGGAGATGAACAAATAGTCTGGTGATATGTTTGATATTTTCTGTTTGGTTGTTGAGAAATCAAGAAAGGAATATAAGTTGATATTCATACTAATATTTTTAGAGTAATTGTTACAAAAAATAAATAAATAAAAAATATCAAACTTTTAGAGACTAATTTTAGTTGTCTCAAAAAAATTATAACCTTTACACACCACTTTCATTTGTTCCAAAAACTAAAACTTTCGGAGACCACTTTAATTTGTCCCAAAAACTAAACTTTTAGAGACCAATTTCGGTTGTCTCAAAAATTAATTTTTGTCTCCATAACTACTCCGACCGTTACTATAATTAGACTTTTAGAGACAAATTTTGGTTGTCTCCAATCAAAACTTTTTGCGACCACATATTTTTGTCTCTAAAAGTCTATTTATAGTGACAAATGCAAAATTTTGTCCCTAAGAGTCATTTTTTTACTTTTTCGGACGGGCTATTTGGGACAAACTTCGAGACGGAGAAAATTGATTGGCTAAAGTTTTTCCTAACAAATATTATACTTTTAAAGACGGAATAATTTATCCCTAAAAAGCTAATTTCTTGTAGTGGATAAAGAATGGCTCATATTCATTCACCAATTGAGGGACTATAGACACTGACAATGTTTATTTTGTTGCCCTCTGGATAGGGAGGTTTGTTTTTGTGTGGAGCCTCAGGACAAGGAGAGTATTGTTTTGTTGGGTATTTTGAAGATTCTTTTGTTCGGTTAATAAATTCAAAGAGTGGAAGTTTGGAATTTTCAAAAAATTGATAGCCTTTAAGAAATTCTAAACAAGAGAGTCTGTCCAAAATTATCAAAATTATTTTAATCATTTATTTTTTTGAAAACAAATTTGGTTCTGTTTTGAGTTTATAGCCATTCAATTAATTTGATTTTTATTTTTTATTTTTTATAAATGATCTACTCGACAAATTCTGTAATATAATATGTTCGGATTAACGACATGGGCTTGGGACAAGGCCCATGGGCCCTTAAAACACCGTATTGTGCCTTATAAGCATAGTACACCCACTTGTTCCCCTTGAAGAGCAATGAGGCTTAACGCAAATGCTTCACTTGCTTTGAGCTTAAGCTACCCATGGTGGCAGTGGTGGTGGAAAACGTTTTTCAATGTAATTCAAACTTTGTACACATCTTTTTACAAAGAATATATTTTGAAAAATAATATGATAGTGATTCTAATAGGGGTAGTAGGGGTGGGGATAGCGGTAGTGGCAATGACGTTGGTAGAGGAGATAGAGAGGCGGTGAAGGTGGCTACAACAGTCATAAGGTATCAATGATGGTAGCATACCTTAGTAAGACTTACACCAAATGTTTTTCACCTAAGTAAGCTTATTTTCCATTGAATATGAAGAAAAAAAAAAAAAAAAAAAAGAAGCTTGTTTTCTATCGAATGACTTTTGTTTTTTGTCATACTAAATACCAAAAAATATGAAACCCTTAAAACATTTTTCAACATTTTTAAGAAAACATTTTCTGTTGAAACAAACACAAACATAAATCATGATGAGTGAATGAAAATTAGAAGAAGAATTGAAAGTACCACTTTGTGTAGATAAGGTAATATTGAGTTCTTCCAACCCTTTTCTTTTTGAATTTCATGAGCAACTTCATTCGTAGTGTTGTAGAACGCTTGAAAGCAAATCTTCATGCACTCTGGAAGTCGTTGAATTTCCTTGTCATCCCACCTGATATCAAGATTTTGATTAGAATCTTAAACATCAATTAAAAGAGTAATTTTAAAATTTCAAAAAAGAAGTATCGAGATAAGCATCCAAAAAACACTATGTAACGTGTACACGGTTTTCTAGCTAAATGCTTTTTTGAAGGCCACAGATCTTCTGTTCCTAGACCTTTGTGACCTCTTGTTCCAAGACATTCACGGCTATTAAATCATGTGAGAATTTTGAAATACTGGAATCTCAAGACATAGTTTAATTACTCTGAGCGTTCTTTCTGAGATAGAATAACATAAGGATTTAAGACAAAAGATTTGGTGCCTTTTTTTTTATTATGTAGAATTGCTCTTTGGTGAATATTTGTGAAGACTAACCTCTCAACTGAATTAGTGAAACACTCTAGTTCTTCCAATGATCCATAAATATCATAAATATCATCAATTATTAGGACGAAATTTATGGCTTTTGTTAGCCATTTTCTAAAACTTTTGTGTTGAGGCTCAAATGCAACTCCCACTGCCCACAAATAACTTTCAACCAGTCGATTCCTTGTAAAACTCAAGTTTTCTACCAGACAAAGATTCTTCCACCACCTGAATCACACAAAATAATAAGATGTTTGGTTACAATTTATTCAAAAAAATCCTAATAATACATAAATAAAACACACAAAAATTTACAAATTAATGAGAAACAATAAGTTGCAATACATTGTTAGACTTGATAGTTTAAAAAATATTATATTAATATCAAAAATAATCTAAAACATGACAATTTTCTCATACTAATGATATATGTGGGTTGTTTATATCCCATAAGTTTGGATGGTTTGTGATTACGGTTGATTTTGCCGTTTATAATTGTGACATGTCTGGATTGAGTTTTGGTTATTTATTATTGGACTATTGTTCAGTTGTTCAATATGATTGGATTCGTGTTTAGGCTTACGTGTGCCTTGGGCTAAGTCCCTGTGGGCCACGGCCGGTCATGCCCGGATTTGGGGTGTGACATACTTTCTATGGGATCATCTTATATCATGAAAAAGTAAGAAGCAAGCAATTGTTTTTAGGTCTTCTGCAGAAGCTGAGTATAGGGTTATGGCATAAGGCACTTGTGAGATTCTATGGCTACGTTCTATTTTGGCAGAGTTGGGATTTGAGGAGACTACTCCAACGTCTTTGTTTTGTGACAACAAGTCTGCTATCATGCTGTCTTTTGATTTTGTCCTACATGAGTGTAGTAAGCATATAGAGATTGATATACATTTCATTCGAGAGAAGGTTCAGATTAGTGTTGGGAGACCATCTTTTGTCTTTTCTTTTGAGCAGTTAGTAGATAAGTTCACCAAGTCTGTAGGCCCAGCATTACTCTAGTCGTCTATCAGCAAGCTGTGTTTATTGAATATCCTCAAACCAACTTAGGGGAAGTGTTGGAATGAGGAAATAGTGATATTATAATTATGGTAGTGTTGGAATTAAGAAATAGTGATATTGTAATTAGGGTAGTGTGTATAAAATCTATGGTTATGTCAATCACAGATTTAATGCTTTTTTTTTAATCTTCGTTTCCTATTTTGTAATATTATTTCATTATAAATACAAGGCTCTACCTCATTCATAGGTAAGCTAAAACAATTCCTTTCATCCTTTTGAGAAGTGGTGCAATCGATTCAAAGATGGGGACGAGAGAGGTATACGAAGAGAAGCTGAGCTTCGGCAACCTCTACCATGACCCAACCATGAACCCGGGCTTAGGTTTGCCTCGATGCCATCGATGTCTCTCTCTCTTAAACCCTAATGCGGTACTCTTTCTATCTTTCACTCTATATATGCATACATATATGCATAGTACTTGTTTTCTCAAATGTTCTTTTGAGTGCTTACTGTGGATTTCTGTTTTTTTTTCCCCCCCTACCAAATAACCAGGACAATGGTGAATGGACCATCACTTCAGTACTACATGATGCTACAGTTGTGATAAGTTATCTGATTCTCATATATATGTATGTATGTATGCACATCATAGATTTCAAAATCATATTTGTCAATTTACAATATCTATAAACATCTAAAATTATGTATTCAAATATATTTCAATTTTGGGATGCATTTTTCAATCAATAATTTGAGTTGAGCTCTTTAGGTTATAATATTTGTGGGTTTGGGAATGACTTTACACCCCTAGGAAGCTGGACCCCTTTCTAGATGCAATCAATGAATTTGGATCCTAGAGTTCCTGTTTGTTTGCATAGGTCAAATTCATTTTTTTATTAATATAACTTCGAATGCAAAATCTAGGATACTTTTCTCTTGCTGATCGGATCTGTGGTTCATCCTTGTTTCCTCATCCTGGTTTACTTGCTTTTGATTTCAATTTCATGCTTGGTTGATGTGTCTAGACTGGTGCTTTGTTTCTTTTGTGATGAGGTCCATGTAAAGGGCTAAATGTTTATGGCATTATGGTCCCTTGTGGGTTAAACCAGTTCAGGTTTTGTCTGTTGCTGAAATTAGTTAGTTTGGCTCTCTTTAGTCTTTTCTAGATGTGTTATTGTTGTTTTTGTGGGTTTGCTTTCGTCAGGAGTGCAATTATGTACCTTGTTTCTTGGTATTCATGACCTTGCAATGGCTAGATCTTTTAGGGAGGATAGCTCATCCTTTATCAAAGCTTGGATGCTATGTGGATGATGTGTTCAGCAGATGCACTTTACGTGAGTGGGATTGGAAATGGTCTGAGTGGTTGATTTCAGTATGAATCTTCATCGTGGCTTTTTCAGGGCTGAACTCTTTTGAGTTAGGTCCACATCTTTTCTAACTGGTGTGGGCATTTTCCTGCTTGGTTTAGAATTTTGTGGTCCAGTTGAAATTTTTGTAAGGTGCTATTTTATCATTTGTGTGACTTCTGCGGTTGGATGAGTATAGCGCATTTGGTGGGATGAAGATCCTATTGTCTACATGTGTAGTAGAGGCATTTGTTGGCTGCTGTTTAAGTTCTTATTTTATCCTATATTGCCCAGACTCTTCAAAATAAATCAATACTATCATGGCAGTGTGTTTTTAATTACTTCTTTGTCTTGCCTTCTGTGCTTTGAGTAAAAATTATTTTGGGCAGGCTAGGTTTGTGTGGCTCTCTTCGAGAGTTGTATGTTTCTCTCTTGAAGAGAGTGTAGGCCCTTTGGTTTATGTGTATATATGGGTACATTTGTTAAGGTATATTGTAATATCTTGTTTTTAGTAATAAAACACTTGCCAAAAAAAATGGAGGCTTGTCTAGCTGTTTCTCTTGGGAACTCTCTTTAAAAAGCTGCCTTAAGAATACTTGATTGCTTCAAAATCAATGTTGTCATTTTTTTTTTTAAATATGCGAACTTTATTGAATGCTGTTGTCATTTTTTTGGTCTTCTGCCCTTTTCTTTTCTTTAAGGGGAAAAGTTGTAGTCGACAAAATATTGAATTTGTTTGTATTGTGTGAGGAAGTGATCCTGATGAATGAAATGTGTGTTATTACAATTTAATACTTTTTAGAGGTAAATCAATACTATCATCAATACATATTTTAAATTAAATGTATCTTACAATACATATACGATACATGATGCGATACATATGTTTCATGAATATTTAAATTTCTTTAGCAATTTAATTTTTTTTTATTTTTTATTTTTATGTAGAAGGTTATTTTTGTCTACCTTTTTGGTTATACAGATCTTAACCCTGTTCTGCATTTTATATGCATTAAGTATTGTTGCGTGCATATATTTACGGATTGTTTGGGCAGTGGCTTTTTAGCTATTACCAAGTTATTACATCACTTTCTCTACTTCTTTGCACATTTTTTCATAAAAAGTCAAAAAGCAAACTAAAATAGCGAATTCCAAAATGAGCTCTTAATTTAAAGAACCTTACATTTGCAATTTTAAGGATTTTAAATCGTTTGGTGTTTTATTCTCACAAAGCATTTGTGTTTTTTATAATTATAATTTTATTTTACTACCTATATTTTAAAGGTGTTAAAAAAATCTTGCAATATATGATACGATACACGTACAATTCGTATCCTGATTTGACAACTGTGAAAGTATGGATAATTGTGCACAAATATGCAGTCGTGTTCAATCTTACTTATTTATACTATATGGTCAACTTTCTTATGGATCTTAACTTCATATTTGTATAGGTAATCAACCAAAATCAATATTGCTTTGGTCATTCCATTGGAATTCTTCCTTGCCTCTAGCCCATTTTTGTACAGATCAAGCTATGTTAGAATTTTTGGTATTTTGGATGATTTGTAAAGGCATCATACGATGTACATTTTTTGTGGCTAAGAAGCATGGATATTTCTATGGTGTGCGTCTGTGTCCGGCATTGACAATCATCATACACTTCTCGACATTTGTCGGACATGTCCAAATGTGTCATTATTTTTAAACATGCATCGGATAATTGAGGGAACACAAATGTCCATCCCTTAGACGTATATGAGTTTGAACAAAATAACTTTGAAAATACAATGATAAAAAGAAAAAAAATATATAAATTTATACTTATAAATTCTTCCTTCTTTATACTTTAGAAATTAGTGTTATGCTACATTTTTATTATCTTGGAATGAAATACTTTTGTGTTTGGCATAATAAATATATAAAATCATATATTTTGTGTTCTGAATTTTTCTAAAATTGACTTTTCGGTAAGTCGCATGTCAGTGTCTATGCTTATTAGCTGTGCGGAAACTTCCTATTTTTATTTTACTACTGTTTCTGTTATTGTATCCCTTAAACATTCAATTGAATAGGCTGGCTCTGGAATTGGCGGAATGCTTAGTGCAATTCATGGTTTCAATACAGGTATGATCAAAATTTTGTCTTTTTTTTTTCTATGTTAATAAGTTCACGTATTGCATATTGTTGATTGATCTCAGGGATCCTGTATTTCCAAAAACATGTTAAAGGACCAAATGGCTTCCTTTACTTATTGGGGTGTGGACTATGTCCTTTGTACTTCTGGTGTGCCTCTATTTCTTTTTTGCCTACTGTTGCGACCCCAAAGTGCTAACCCATGTGCAAGTTGTCGCAAAGTATTATATACTATACCCAGTGAATCCGAGATCGATTTGCAGGGATTGGTAGCAAAGGAGAAACTAAACTAATTTAGCAAATGTTTTAATTGGATGTTTTTGATTTGAGGAAAGTGATGGTTGAATTTGATGAAATGAAATTAAAAAGTTCAAAACAATAATAGAAGATAGGCTAAGGCATGGGGAATCCACTAATACTAAAACCATAACTCTTTTTCTTGATCCTACTTTTAACTTAATTGATAATTAACTAAGGAGTGATCTCAATTGGAAGATCGAACGGTGATAGTTCAAAATATCATCAAAAGATTAATCTTTAAATTGATTGATCAAAACCTACAAGACTAGTTTTTGATGCTCAGGGAATTCCAAACATCCATTGTACCTAAAGTTAACGATGAATCAAGAGATTTTGCAGTAACAAAAACTTTTCAAATATATATATATATATATATGAAACAATCAATTAAAAGAGCATGCATTGCAAAACATTGGAGGATCAAAGAGGAAAAATTATTGCTTCATTACAAGTTTCACCCCTAGCCTTAGCTAAGAGCTTTAGCAGGACATTATATGATATCAAACACTTACAAAGTAAGAAGATAGAATGAATGATAACTCCCTTGTGCTCATCTCTCTTATATATATATATATATATATATACTAGTTTAAAAAGGCCCGTGCAAGGCATGGGCTATTATTACAGTATGTTTAAGTTTTGTATTTGATAATTTTTTAAAAATTAGAATATTGTTCTATGAAATTGAATAGAATAAATCATTAGATATATATACACCTAATGATGTAGACTCCAATTCTATTACCATATCATTTTGGGTGAATTGATGAGTCTTTAACATTTTTTCCGAACTTGTAAAAAAAATTATTATGTGTAGTTTTTCTCAACAGATAAATATAAAGCAAATACGAAGATAATTCTCCTATATAAAAAAAAACTACTAAGATAATTCACTAAACTAATGAAGAAGTAGAAGAAAATACATATATATATATATATATATATATTTATATATATACCAATGACTAATTTTATTAATATATAAATTGTACTCGCAAAACAAATGACTAATTTTATTAATAAGTAAATCAACAATTTTTGAAAAATATTTTTCAGTTAACCATTTTGTTAATAAATAAATCATTAAGTCAATTAACAAATTTTAATAATATGAGAAATATTTTTCAATAAACAATTTTGATAATTTATTAATGCCTAGGAGAATAGTTTTTTTTTTCCCAAAGTATTGTGTTAAATTAAAATTTATAACAAATGATAGTTGTAATTTTTATTATTATAGGACCGATTCATATTTTAAACAAATCTTATGGGTGTATTTGTAATTTGTTAAAAAATAAAATATTTATGTTTCATAATTGACAAGAATGTTTGCGTAATTACGAACCTCAAGCAGCTATGCGATTCTTATATATATATATATATATATGTATATATATATTTGTCTAACTATGACCCTTCAAAGGTGAATAGAAAATAAAAATCACATGTCAATTTTCGGATTTCAAAGTTCAGCTAACTTCCAGCTCAGTTTTGACGAAGAAAAAAGCTGTTTCACGAAATTTCTATTAGGCATAAAGTTTTAGATACTTGAAACATCTTTCCCATGCCCGCAAACCTCACAACAATCTAAATTTTGAGTAAAAAGTTATGGCCAAAATACCATGACAGACTTAATCTGCCATATCAAAACTTTTTCCCAACATTGATGTCATTGACTCGTCTTTAGTTCAAATGGCCATGTGTTATTTAGATGCAAAAGTTCGAGACATCTTTTGCATGTTTTATGCTTGGATATTCTTCAATAAACAAAAAAACAACGCTCAATTAGTACAAACAAAGATAAGAAAATTGGGAAGAAATTTTGTGGCTGCATATCTCTTGCAATTTCAATGCTGCTTTTGACCATCAAGATGACAAAATTTCGAAATACTCATGCTAGAGTTGTCATGACCCAACCCAGTACCCAAAGGTTTGGCGTCGTAACAAGATAAAATAAACAATACAAAAATTTCTGCAGTGGTAGCGCAACGGATAAATTAAATAAAAAAAAATTGGGTACCGAATGTTTTTTTAAAAAAAACAAACATAGTCATTTGAACTTTATTGTATTACAAGAGTCCGATAAAAAAAAAAGAGTTAAAAAAATCAAAAAAGAAATAAAAAAAAAAAACAACACAGCGATTCATTCTCCATTATGATCCCGCTAAACCTCGTCACCTGAAAAGGGTAACAGCTATAAGCACATAGCAGAGTGAGAAATATTATACTGTGAGTATAGGGGCACAAAATAGCCATGGATATTTATTTAAGCTAAAACATTAACATAATTTAAGTTGAATACACATATTAATTAAGTGGCAGAAATTGAAACAAATGACTATAACCACGGTACAAAATAGAACATAACGGGGGTTACTCGAGTGACAATCAGAATAGGGGTCAATGGATCCATGATAAACAGAGAACCACAAAGTAGTCAAACAGGGGCCTATGGTTATTTAAGTCTCCCAAGGCATGGGATTCCCGTGGTGGTATTTACAGAAAATAATTATTTACAAGGTCATTGTCAAATAATTTCTAAAATTTAAACAAATATATCCATGGGTTTTAATTTAAGCAAATAGAATTCACAAGAAATAATCCACGTAATTGAAACATTAACCTAACCATAAACATAAATTATATAAAGTGAATTGTGGTAACTCAAAACATTTGTAAAATATATTAGGGTAACTTAAGACATGTAAAAAACACATTATAGTAACTCAAGGTGAAATAAAACTCACCTTAAGATTGACCCTTACCTTTTAATTTTGCTACTACAACTCCAGCTATACCCTCACTCTTTGACGCTACACTGTGCCTGTTTGGCAGAACTTAAAAGCAGCTTATTTCAGCTTTCAGCTTAATTTAAACTATTTTGATGTGTTTGGTTTAGCTTATAACTTATAGCTTATAGCTTTTTGAAAGTCATAAATCAGCTTATTCTTTGAGTGGGGCAGGAGATGTTTAATTTATAAGTTAAAAATCAACTTATGTTCATAGTTATAAGTTATAAACTATTTAGACATAAGTCATAAGTACTTTCCTACAACTCTACCGAACAGAGCTACTGGAACACTATGAATAAGCCTTAGATTTCTTTGAAGGTCACTGAAGAGAGTCCTCTCTATTTATAGTTGAGTTGCATGGGATGTGGGCATGCATGGAAATGACACGTGGCCATGCCACGTGTCTCCTGCCCACCGATTCCTTGCCCCGGATTTACTCCTGTTTTGGCTAATTCCTACATTGAAGAATTTATTTATTTATTATGTTATTCCAATTTTAAAAGTCATAATTCCTAAAATTACATATAATTATACGTTAGGTTAATGTCCAAAAATCTCACTACCAAACTATAAAACATCACTTACTATTTTTCTAAAATATTTAACGTGTGGTATCTCACAATTTATTTCCTTAACAATTTAATCGATAAATTCCCAATTTCCTAATTTATACATTTATTTATTTATTCATTTTTATTTTATATATATATATATATATATATTATTATTTATTTATTTTTTGAGTTCTATTTAATGCAATATTTAAATTTAAAACATTCGGGTGTCACATTTCTCCTCTCCTTAAAAAGTTTGTCCCCAAACTTGACGTACCTTAGTTTTCGAAGAGGTGTGGATATTTGGCTCGCATTTGGCTTTTAGTTTCCCACGTTGCTTCTTCGACACGATGGTTTGTTCATAAGACTTTCACTGTTTGTTCATAAGACTTTCACGAGAGGTATAGTCTTATTTCGGAGGACCTGGTCACGGTGATCCAGAATTTGTACAGGTTGTTCTTCATAAGAGAGGTCTTCTTGCACTTCCAAGTTCTCATAATTGACAACATGCTCTAGACCCCGAAGATATCGCCGAAGTATCGAAACGTGAAACACATTGTGGACATTGGATAGTTCAGGTGGAAGCGCAAGGCGATATGCCAGAGAACCAATCCTTTCGAGTATCTCGAATGGGCCGATGTAATGTGGGTTTAACTTTTCTCGCTTTCCAAATCGGATAACCCCTCTTGTTGGTGAGATCTTTAGGAACACATCATTGCCTATTTGAAACTCTAAGTCTCGTTTTCGTGTAGCTGCATGGCTTTTCTGGCGGCTCTGAGCAGTGCGAATTCGTTGCTGGATGAGTTGGATTTTATCGCTTGTTATTTGCACGATCTCGGGGCCTAATAATTTTCCGTCTCCGACTTCCGTCCAACACAGAGGTGATCGACATCTCTTTCTATACAGTGCCTCGTACGGTGCCATTCCAATACTTGCATGGTAGCTGTTATTATACGCGAACTCCACCAAAGGGAGATGATCATCCCAGTTACCTTTGAGGTTTAGCACACACAAACGCAACATATCTTCCAAAGTTTGGATCATCCTTTCAGATTGCCCATCTGTTTGTGGGTGATAAGCCGTGCTAAATTTCAGAGTGGTTTCCAAGGCTTCTTACAATTTGTTCTAGAAGTGAGACACAAAGCGGGGGTCTCTATCGGATATGATTGAAACTAGGGTGCCGTGTAAACGAATGATCTCCTTAATGTATAGAGTGGCAAACTTAGAGAGGGAGTACATGATTCTGATTGGTAGAAAATGCGCCGACTTTGTCAATCGATCTACGATAACCCATTTTGCATCATTCTTCAAGACTGATTGCGGTAGCCCAACCACGAAGTCCATGGTAATATGCTCCAATTTCCATTCGGGAATAGGGAGTGGTTGCAACATCCCTGCAGGTCTTTAATGTTCTGCTTTAACTTGTTGACAACGCAGGCATTTGAAGACATGACTTGCTATGTCTTTCTTCATTCCTGTCCACCAGAAGTGTTCCTTCAGATCGTGATACGTCTTCGTATTGCCAGGGTGGATTGCAAACCTCGAGCTATGAGCTTCTACCAATATCCTTTTCTTGAGTTCTGGAAGGTCGGGTACGCAAATTCGATTCCAAAATTTTAGCATCCCATTGCTCATCGTGAAGTTAGGATCAGGCGTGCTTTCTTGTTCCTCGTACTTT